AACTCATCTTCCTTCATCTCAGAAATCCCAAGCCTTTTCATAAATGAAATAGTGAAGGAGCCAGGGTCTCCATGGAGTCCATGAGAGGCCTTACACTACTGCCACTCGGTTTTCCATGGAAAGTACTCAGCCACTGCAGTATGTGTCCTAAAACAGTCAGCTTAAGAAATATTTGGATGAAAATTGTAAAAAAGCTTGACTAGAATAAATACTTGTAACCTCTTGTGAATTTGCTGTGTTATTCCTGACTTACCACATGGAGCTGTGTACTAAATAAAATCAATAATTTGGTGGCTGGTCCTAACTTCTGCTGCATGAAGCTGTTCTGTTGTTTTGTCGCAGCTATGGCCTTGTTTTCTCTTCTAATTTGTTGTGCTTGCTCAGTGAAATTGAATCCCACATCATTTCAGGCAAGTCTTGGAGAAGTTGTTTTCCTCGGTGCAGATGGCTCTTTCTTCCAGATGTGACAGGCAGCTAAGAGCTGCTTCATTTTTTTTCTTGAAATCACGCTGACGCTGTGGCCGCAGTAGTACTGTGGTTCTTGCCCCGTATCTGATTTTTCCGTGACTATAACCTGTCCTGCGTGTCAGTCGCAGCATGCGCCACACAGGCTCCTGTTATCTAATGTAGGTTGCTTTGGTTTGTTTGGTTTGTTTTCTCTTCTGTTTTAGTGAGGACAAAGTAAAATTCAAGAGCGCGGTGGCTCCTGGGAGATGTCCCCGCTGGAAGCTCTTGTGGCAGCTTGGCTCCGGCAAGGGTGCAGCCCTTTGTGTTTGCGGCTGCAAATGTTCCACCCTTGTATCTTCAGCCCAAAGCAGCCAAGGAGAACCTGTACCCTTGCCGTTTCCCTTCACCCTTCTTGTTTCACTTGGGAACACAATGAGCTGTCAAAATTTCCTGCCCTGTTTCCACAGAATCCTTCCTTTTGCTCCAAAAAGGATTATTTATCTAAAACTGCTAATTGCATAAATTGTCAGAACAATTGTTTAGCTTGATTTTAAGGTGGAGAGCAAAGAGATGTAAATGTCTGTTGGACTGATGAAAATCACCCTCAAAGTCCTCTGTCAGAGTGAAAAAGAGAGTGGTGTGTTGCCATGAATGACCCTTGCCTCTCAGACAGTAAAAATCATCTGGTATGGTGTACATCTGGTGCAATCCCTATTTTTAGCCTCTCTGTTGAGTGTACTTAGAGATAATTAAAAGTAATAGGGAAGAATATAAATGTTTTCCAAATCAGTGAGCCAAGAAAAAATGGAGGAAGGCAGGTGTGGTTGATGTAGCCCACCATCGCTTCTTAACTAGTCTTTCTCTAATGATGTAGAAAGAGACTAGGTGGCACCTGGCAAAGTATTTTGAAATAACAGATTCATGAGGTAGAGCTGCTTGATAACATCTTTGACTCATCAGAAACTTGCCTTCCCTGAGGGTAAAGTTAATAATCCTCGAATATAAGGATTTTAGTGGCTTTTACTAAGTCAGCGAGGATGCAGATTTGTTCTGCATATAGATTCCGATAGTGCTAGAGACAGCCCAAACTTTTATTGTCTGTAAAAAATGTAAAATGACACAAATAGCCTATCGGAATCATCAGTAATTTTCCATGACTTCAGGCCCTCAGCTTTGCTGGTAAAGTAAAACTCATTCACATTTTCTTAGTTTGAAGAACGTAGAGCTGGTAGCAAGTTTATCGATCATCATGCAAAGTCCTTAAGTATTTCAGGTCGTCTTTCAGCATGTATAAAGCCCATGCCATCAGCTGCTTCAGTTGTTTTCATCTCCTCCTTCGGAATGATATTCTTCTGCTCACCTAAATGGTTCTTTTCCCACTCTGCTGCTTAGCAATGCTGGGCATTAGTCCAGGGTGATTTTCCTCTTATGAAATGGTTCTTCAGTGCCCTGATCATCTTCCTAGAGGTCCTTCTTTCTACTTTTTCCAGGAGGAATTCAGCCTTCTCATCGACAGTGTGCTTTGACTGATAGTATCAATACCTCCCTTGCTTTCCTTCTCTTTACTGGAATTACCTTGCCTGAATAGTGTACATACGTGTCTGAGCTGGCTAGTCTTTAGTTCTGTGGGAGACAGCAGCAGCACCATGAGAGGAGGCTGGACTAGCAGTAAAATGAAAGTGGAAGCTGCAGGTAGCTGGGCCATAAAGCAGTTGAGGCGGTGCAGTTGAGCAGAAGGTGACAGTAGCAGTGAACTTTATTTTTAAAAACTGTAGCTGTATATACCTGGTATCTCCCAGCTTTGTGTTATCAGCAAGTCTCACTAGTGCTCTCCTAATTCTGTGTCAAGATCATCAATAAAAAGTTTGAAGATCATTCCCAATATGAATCTTCTAATCATGCAGTAATTGTTCCCAAGCGAAAGTTTCCTTTCAGGGCACCTTGTTATCTTCTTACTTTTAGTCTTTTCTGACTTCAGTTTTTGTACTCATCTCTTGCCTTCTCTTATATGTTTAACAAAGTGCATATGGTTGAAATGCACTACAGTATTGATTTTTTCCTCTTGTCTAACAGGTAGCTATTTTATTCAAGGTAATTAAGTATCGAGTTTTATCTTGTATGGTCTACTTTTGGTAAGCCCACATTGTGCTTTCTTCTGTGTTCCAGTTGACTACCTACCTTTAGCGATCTCTTCCTCAAAATTTGGGGTCATGCTATTAAGATCAGAGTTAGGCAATTTTTTCAATACGTAAATGTGTATGATTTCATTATTCTCTAGTACTGTGGTACCTCTCTTGAGCAGATAGATAGATATATTATTTCATGTCCAGAAAGAAAATCGATCTTTCTGGGTTTGCAGTGTCACGTCTTGGGTTTTTTTCAGATTTTTGGAGTTTAAGTTGCTCTCTTTTTTTGAAGTACCAGTTGATTTAGTCAGGAGTGACACGTTTATCAGTGTGTTAATGCAGGGGATTATTTGTAGTTTCCTGTTAATTCATTGGTGCCTACAGAAAAACAAAAGCCTCAATCAAGGCATGCTCATGCTCCGAATTTACACCCGCTCTTAATTTGCTGATGCTTGTATTAGTGACAGGCTCAAGCCTGTCTGGTTTTGGGGGGTTTGTATAATGTGTACCATATGCTTGCCATTCTTACTCGTTCTGCGTGAATCGGCCAATCTGATGGGTCTACCTGTGGTGGAGAGCAACGCTTTCAAGTCTGGGTGCTGCCTTATGAGCTCTGACTCGTGGGTGCTGATGAATCTTGCTTCGGTGTATTACAAACTCTCCAGCTATTTGCTCCACCCTTCTGCCCTTTAACAGAAGGATCGCAGGGGAATAGGTTTATATACCTCTGTTGCCACAAGTTGCACGTGATTCTAAACTGCTGATGAAGGTAGACCCGTGCTGTTATCATACCTTTGAAGTGCAACAGCTGAAGAGCAGGCAGAGGTTTGCACCTCCTGCCCCTGCTGTCAGGAGGGGTAAGTGGGGTCAACAACAGCTTGAGCTGTTTTGGGCTGGTTCCTTAGAGTGAACGGTTGGCAAGCAGGAGCTGAGTACAGGGAACGCATGTTCTGTCCCTGGAAACAAAAAAGCAAAGTGAAAGTAAGGATGAGAGAAAATAGATTTATATTTATAATCAAAAGTGACTGTGTTTGAAATATTCTTAATTTGAGTGCGCGCTCCTGTGTCTTTCGTACCTCTAAGGACCCCTAGAGGGCACGGAAGTTTTTCTCCACCTCGAATATTTAACTTAATAAGTCTCCTTGGCTTTCTTCCCTTAAACATAATTGTAAGCACATTTTAAGTGAACATTAGATAGAAAAAAATAACAGCATCTAACTAGGTCCTTCTTTTATGCTGCAAGATGTTTTCTTGGTTTTAAACACAAGCAGTAGAAGCTAGCACTAGCAGCCAAATTCTTGAATTATTTTTGTTTAGATTAGTCAGATGCTATATTCGTATCCCAGAGGAAGCACAATTCAAACTAATAATTCATCATTCTATTGCAAACTTTGAGAGGCCTACCATGTGAGCTGTCTGAGGAAGTGCAGTGGGTATGCTTTCAACACGATGGCCTGTGCTTCTGTAGAAGAGGAATTGATATTGTGAAGAACTGGCGTACTCTAACCTGAACCTCCAAAATCTCCAAACTTAATCTTAGTTAGGAAATTTTAATATTTTGGTCTTGTTATTTGCCTACAAAGAAACGATTACATTACAGTACAAGTTATGTAAGGTTATGGAAATATAAAAGTGGCATCTGCTTCCGACTACTTCCTATCTACTTGGGGAGAGGTTTTGTAACTCTTACTCATCCTGAGTAGCATTTTTCTCCTTAAATGAGTTTTGCCTATTTCATCAGTATTACATGGTAAGTCAGGTACTAATCAATGTGAATTACACAGCGATACTAATTCTTAGTATTGTGTTGTCACTTTAAGGTATTTAAATATACATCCTAAAGCTCTGGAGTAATGCTTATCTAAGAACATCAGGTTTCACTTACATAAAGCAGCTTCAGTGTTTGAGGAGAGGGCTGACATTTTCCAGAGTGCTTAAAGAGCAGAAAGTAAACCAAAAACAAACAAAAAAAACCACCTTAAAAAAAAAAGTTCCTATTTTGTTTGGGGTTTTTTTCATCAGCTCATGATTTTGAGACCAGTCCCACAGCTTTGGAGGTCAGTTGGACTGTGAGCCTAGTCCAAGGTTGAGACCTTTGTGTGTGATGCCATGACAGTCAGAATCCAACTGGTCTTGTCTGGGCAAATAATGGACTACTCTTGAAGCAGTGAGAGTCTACTTACTGGGCAAGAAGCTGTTCAATACGATAAACACGAGGGGATTTTGTGCCTTTGTTCTGATAAGAGGATCAGCTGTACTGCTTTACCCAATTACCCAGGGATGTCATGGGAGATGATTTTTTGGACCTTAGTTTTCCCACTAGAGGAGCGTAACGTCATCACTCTGAATAGAAAATAGATCTAGATCTAAAGAGCAGAGAAAGGCAGCTGCCCCTTCTAACATCTCTGGGGATTTTGTGTTTTGCAGGAGATGCACGGGTGAGAGGTCAGACAGGGGTTCTCTCCGAGCGCCGTGGCTCCTACCCGTTTATAGACTTCCGTCTTCTTAACAGTAAGTGCAACCCTTCCTTCAGGTCTGCATTAAAAAAAAAAAAATCTGTATTGAAAGTATACAAACCAAACTATCTCATTTCATACATATCTGTAGTTCAGCTGTCTTCACACAGTCAGCATTAATAATTCTGTTATTCCCACCCAGTGTTTGACTGTGAAATGTTTTGATTGTATGAATACTGTCCATAATGCTGAGTCTGTCAAGTAAATACAGTAGTGCCATGGGATGTGCTGGAGGGGACAGGAGGTGCTTCAGAATTAAAAAGATAAACCTCTGTGTCCTTTAGCCTCTTAGCCAACAGTTGGAACAGATTTATGTGAGTCTGTTATCCGGTCATATAGAATTGGCACAGAAGAGGAGCATGTGACAGCACTGACCAGTGGTTTACAATAACATTAATTTTTCCAACAATTAGAACCCAATCCAAAGCCCCATGGAGTCTTCTCATTGACGTCAATGGATTTTGGGTCAGGCCAGCAGTGAACATCTGTTAAAAATAATCTTAACCTCATTTTGATTGAAGTTATTTTGCCACTGTTGTAAATAAAGGAGGGCAAATCTGAAAGAAAAAAAAAAGCGATCCTGTTGGATTTTTTTCACCTGATGGATTCTCTATACTGATGCAGACCCATTAACCAGTGTGTAAAAAATAAATTAAAATAAAATAAAAAGACAGAGAGCACCTAGTCTTGGGCTCTGTAGCATTCAGTCTGGATGCTGTGTTAACTCCAGTGTTCAAGACACAGGCAGATCTCGATGTGTCCTTGTGTACTGCACAGACCACTCCGTGTAGCCTTTGAACAAAAGTTATTCACCGTCTTCGTCAAAACAGACCGAAACTTCAACAGTTTGTTTAGTGATGACACTTTTAAGATTCTAGCGATTATGCTTTTCATTAAAAAGCAATTATCAAACCAAAGTTTTATGTCTCCTTTTTGTAACTGCTTACCCAAGTGCATGGGGAAGGGAGGTAGGTGGCAGGGAGTTTGGGGAGAAGCCCAGCCACAAAGGGTGAGGTCTGGCTGGGGGTCAGGAGAAAAGAGGGGCAAATAGGAAGGGGAGGACTTGGGCTCTGATCGGCTGCATTCACCCAAGCTGGCAAAGTTACCGCTGCCTGGCAAAGTGCTTGCTTTCAGTCTTGCCAATAAAAGGTGTCTTTTAGGTCCTAAGTCCATGAGCGTGCTTGCTATGGCTGAGGTGGAAAGACACGAGGGGTAAGATGGGTCCAGCAGTTTTCCCAGGACAAAGGGAATAACATACTGGTTGAGCAGAGCTCTGAGGATAATTTAGTCCTGGCTTGCCGATGAAAAATGTGAAGAAAAACCTGTTCTATACTAGCTGGAAATATTACTGTTGATGCCCTTAAAAGACTGAGGCAAAATAAAACTTCTTTTCACTCATGAAGTAGAAGTGAATATATATTCACATTTGAGTGTGACTAAAATAATAGAAATTAATAGGTCTTGCTTTTTTTTTTTTTTTAATATATACACATTATTTAAAATTCTCATCATATGTTCTTTCCTTTTCCTGGTTAAAGAAACCAAAAACTCTTCAGCTCTTTTTTCTGGTGATAGGGCTTTTACTTTTATCCCCTGCCATGAATCCTGCCATCCTTCAGATCCTGCCAGCTTCTGGGAGGTGCTGGTGCTGTCCATGGGCTGTCTAGGGAGAGATCCATGGTGAGAGATGTACCAGTGAATACTCAGCCTTTGGTCCTACATGGAGCAGGGCACTCCGCATAACCCCTCTCCCGTAACTGCTGAACTTAGAAGCGATGCCTCTGTCTGCATGCATCTCTGGTCCCACGGAGGTGGGGCACCTGGGGTTTTATGTTCCGGTGCTCACTGTCCCTGGGACCTCTGGCTTACTCCTCCTTTTTACTGCTTTTCCGTAATCTGAAGGAAGTCACTATGGCTAGTCATGATCTCTGTGTAAGGAGAACCAGTGATCCTGATTTTGGATTTCCTGTTATTTTCAGGTTTTTATGTATTTACTGCTTTCTGCCTAGGGAGTGGTGTTGGCTTAATTTTTCAGTGCAAAATGAAGTGAGATTTCTAGGCACTTGACTACTAATTTTGTAGATGGCAAGTGCACTGGGCCTCGCTCACTCGGTGATCTACAGGTAAATGAAGATGCTCAGTGTCAGAGCACACAGACATGTGTTTTGCCAGGAAGTAAATAGACTTTTCTATTATTTGTTCATATAAATCTATCTGTGAAATCCATTTCTGCTGTGCATACCATATAAACGGCAAAAACCATGGTGCCTATCAAAAAGAAACACACAAATGTCGCTACTGCAAACTTTTTTGAAAAGTGCCTAACTTATACTTGCAGTAAAATTTTGGCACCATGTTACATTTGTTCGGGGGCAATAACTGACAGGCAGCAGCTGTATACTGAAAGCTGTTACAGTAAGGGAGGGATGAGACAGAGAAAATTTTATCATAAATATCCTCAGAAGTTATAAAGAAATGCATCATAAACATTACTCATCTTCTTAACATTACTTAAGCTTCAGACAAACTGAGCTTAGTGATTGTTCCCTCTACCATCTGAAATACTACTCCAAATAACAGTACCACCCTTGTTTTAAAGTAAGGGAAAACACTGAAGCTCATTCTTGAACAGAGTTCACATTCATTCTGAAAATTGACATTTAAAAAAAAAATTCAGGGCATTGCTATTTAATGTCAGACTAAAGGTTACTTAAATGTAACTTTTTTAACAACTTACAGATTCAGTCAAACTAGTGGATTTTTCCCTAGTAGGGATATTAAGGGTTAACACTGGGTAGACCGTATCTTTTGTTTTTTCTGGAGCCCTGCAGTGAAGTCCGCTGTGTAACTTAAGACACCGTTAAGTCTTTTTGGATAGGAAAACTTCCTGCACTCTGAAAATGGGATCTTCTGTAGCCCTCATCAAAGCCAACAGGAATAATGTTGGCTTCTTGCTGTTTGAGCTAACGTCTGTGATGCCATCTACACATTCCTCCGGTGCCTCTCTGCAATATATAGAAGGTTAGTGAGTGTTATTTCACCTTGTCAGTGCCAGGCTGTCAGGACCATGAGGATTTTGCAGGATCCTGTCTGGAGGAGATGCAAGACTTTAGCATCTACCTGTCTTTGCGTAGTTGCAAGTTTTCCTTGAGGCATAGTTGCACTGGTGGGTTTTAGGACTCTTAAGATGACTCCAGAATACAAAATTGAATGTAAAATATCCCTGTGTCACCAAGAACTCCTCGCTTCTGCATTGCAAGGAGCATATGTTTGCCTCAGTCTCTTGAGTCAGTCCCTGCAACTTGTGGAGACCCGCATGGCCAACCAGATACTCGTTTGTGTTGACAGTATCGAGCCAGAAGCTTGAGGGGAAGCGACCTAGCAGATCCTCTCCCCAGGGAAGCTGCGGCATCCAATGCGTGTTAGCCAGGCCAGTGTGAAGACCCCCAGGAAGCAAGCCGACCATCCTTTTTTCCATCCCGTTGTAATAAGGCAAGGGCACCACCTGCTCCTGATAGCCACAGATATACCCCGGAAAAAAATAAGCTGGACGTGGCAGATGTGAGGCTCCATGTTCACTAGGGTGCTTATGAACAAATATTCGGATTTTACAAACTCCTAAACTAAAAGATACAAGTTTTGCACAGCCCTATAGGTTTATAGGAAAATGGGGAGAGGGTTTTCTCTTCATGCAAATAAGGCATTCCTTAAAATAGGAGCAGCAGAAGAAAAGAAGACTTAGCATTAGAAACCTATTCTCCAGAAGGAGTAAATGGATGAAATAGGCAAGTGTTAGGTGCCATCGAGCAGCTGAATATGATGTATAAATGATGTAAGATTGATTCCAAACCAAACCTCACAAATTTTAGGAAAGTTTGACTCTGAACTTGGTAGCTCTAGCTTGTAACTGAACATAATGCAGGTTGAAATCAATGATGGCAGTTTATTGGCACTTTTGCATTTCTGTGAATTAAATGAACCTTTTTGTGTTCACAGGGCAGAAAAGGAGTTAAACTGAATATTTGCAGGGTAGTAGGTTAGAATTTGAAACATTGCTGCAGTGAAAAATAACTTGATCCAATTTTCTTTAGCAAAGCGTGGTTTGGATTTGAGAAATAAAGGACTATAGGGTAAGGCAGCAGTAATTTAGTTCTCTGATTGACAAAGTTGCTCAGTGAATCATTGAACCAGATCCCACCAGTACTGATTAAACTAGATTTCATTATCTCCTGATGAGCTGTGCTGGTGACTGTGATGGTACATTTCTTCATTGCATTAACCAAAAGTTTGAGGGAATTCCTTGTGATAAATCTAGAATTGTAGGTAAGCATGCAGCAATAACCAAGAAGACCTCACCCTGCTCCAATTATGTTAGATACTTTGTTTTACTGCCAGGTGAAATTAAGTAGAGTAACAAAATAACGTAGTTTACATATGAGATGAGTAACCTTTTATTTACAAATTTGCTTGTCAAGCTTTAAGTCAGAAGACAAGGAGATCCTTAAGACTAAAACAGTGATTCTCCAGTTCCCACCTTGTTTATGCTAAGCTTTTCTCTGGATTGAATTTTTGCTTGCAAATGACAAAATTATTAGCCTCTACTTGACTATATTTAAATACGTCTGTCATGAAGTAATATGATTAAAATTGTTTCTGCTTGCATTTTTAACTTTTTCTGAAAAATTCTTCATTAGGGGCACTTTGTTTTTGTCACAGTATCAGTCATACCATTGTTTTCGTTACCTTGCACCCACCTGTTTTCAGTAAGCCATCCACAGTATCCCAGTGTCTGACAGAATTCACTTCTTTATATATTGATCTAGGAGGGATAACAAGGAAAGGGAAAGGATGTAGCATGTGACCTGCAAAGTGGAGTGTCTGTACCAAAATGGTGTTACCCAAAGAGATTTCTGTTTCCTTACACCTTGCACAACAGGAACATAAGAGTGGGATCTGAGACTATCTAAAAGGTCAAAACATGTTTCTAGACACTCC